AGTGTAACTTAGTTGGGTTTTTTAGATAAAATGTTAAGTTTGTTGGGTTTTTTTGAACAGACAAAACATGATTGGGGTTTTTTAAACAGTTTGAAAACTTTGTTGGACTTTTAAGTCATTTTCCCTTGTTTATACGATCAAAAATATATAAACCAAGTACATCTAAGTAGATATTTTAAGTCTAGTCGAATCTGTAAACCGTTTGTGGTCAAATTTTAAGTTATAATAGTTCAAGAAAAAACTACTAGTTGCAATTTTCACGTGATTGATTTAAACTAAAAATTAAGTAAAAGCTAGAAACATTTATGTCGTAAGAATTGCTAAACGAAATATCATCAATGAGAAAGCGAGGTACTTCGGACTGAATAGTTCGGACTCATACGTTTATCTTCCTTTAAATTCCAACTTACTTAGATTAGGAACAACCAATAGTTTAACAATATTGTGTCTTTTGATTAGATGTTATAATAATAAGCATTTAAGACTAAAAGTTTGGAAAGTATTTGGAGATTCAACTGATCATCTTAGTTCCCAAACTATTCGAACTCAAAATGATTAGTTAATTGATGACACATTATCTTAATTGCAATGCCAAACACAAAAATAAAACCTAATTCCGATTATTGCTAATGAATGATTACTTACGGAACAACCAAATAACTAAAATTGATTAAAACATAAGTAATAATCAAACCACATTCGTCTTAATATCTTATAACATCCCCAAAAATTATCCTAAATAGTTTAGACTTCCATATCAATTTAAAAGCACACAACTTTAATAAAAACAATATAATTCAAGAACATTCTTCAAAGGTTGAATGATGATGAACTTGATGATTCGTAGCTTCAAATTCAAAAATCGATTATCAGAAACATGTTTGGAGAAGGTTTTTAAAATGTTTGGAAATCTCCATAATGTAGCAAAGTCGCAGGAGAGAGGTATCAAATCGACACCAAACAAGCCTAGGTATTCTTGGTTGAAATCTATTGTTTTGGAACATTCAAAAAATGCAGCCAAATAAGCTTGGCATGCTAGGATGCTCCAAATATGGACTCAAACCTAACAGAAAATTGAGCTAATTTTGATGATGAAAATTGCAGAATGAGTTGAAACACAAAACACCAAACACTACAAGGAAACGGACATATGCAGACGATACTTATCCCGACGACAAATGTCGTTGCTAAAAGTAACCCTATGCCGACGACTTGTCGTCGCCATAGGTTTTGCGAACTTTGACTTATTTAATTTGACTAGGACCCTTATGTCAACGACAAGTCGTCGGCAAAACTCATGTGGAAACAATGAAAATAATGGCGGTATTCTTAAATTCAATACCGACGACTTGTTATCAGTATAGGTACAAAAAAATATAGTTTCCATTTATTATTAATCCATGTGTTAGAAAAATAAAACGACGTAGTTTTGCGTATTCTATACCAACGACATGTTGTCGGCATGACACGTGGCGATCCGCATCACAAGGCTGTCTAGATGACTTGTCGTCGCCATAGGGTTTTAATTTATTTTTTTTCCAGCAAAATATTGAAACGCCAACGTTTATTTACCCCTATACCGATGACTTGTCGTCGGCATAAGGGTTTACCCTAAAGAATGGCCGCAACTTTCTTTCATTGCACAACGACTCAACATTTGTTTTCTCTCCAGCGAAAATTTGATTCCATTGATATTACCCGACGATTAGCCCAATGTAATGCTTTTCTACTTCTATTTTGGTGAATATTGATGTATGGTAATGATTTTTACCCTTAATTTGGGGTTTTTTTTTTGTGTGTTTAAAGGTTTTCACCGGTGATGAAGCACCACCGTCGGTTCCGCCACCAAAAACTTCCCACTGAGTTGTTCACCGGTGCTCATTGTTCCAGCCACTCACCATCGATCTTCACTAGAGGTAAGTATACAATATATTTTATATGTATTGAATTTTACACTTATTAATTTTTTTTACTAATCAAATATGTTTTTCTTTTTGCAGACTTATTTTGATATTAATAGGTATCGGGCACAAACTTGTGGGAACTCCTTCGAGCGGGTATCCAAGCAGATATGTAAAGAGCTTATCGAGAGCGCAAGTATCAGATAAAAAAACATTTTGAAAGAGTCGGTGGATATCATAATGTGGAAAGGACAAGAAGACATCTACCGGATGATTGGACCGCCCACGCTTGGAACGATATGATTGATTTGTTGTTTTTGACCGAGGAATATAGACGCACGTCAGAAAAAAAAAAAAAAGTTAATAGGTTGAAACTTCTACACACAAGTGCTCACGGATGTAGACCCTATGCTCAACGACGTTATTTAGAGATAATAAAATACATTAGTTTCATTTAAAATTGTTATTAACATTTGTACAAATATATTTATTGTTTTTTTCACTTATTATAGGAATAAATGGGAATCAAGCCGCAGCATATTGAGGGTTGGAGACAAATGCGCTACAAAGAAGGTTCGGGTTGGTGTACAAGTCGAGCAGAAGAAGAATGGGTAAGTGATAAAGGAAATGAATATAATGTTTAAATATATTATTATTAATTATAGTTTCTTGTTTAAGGAATATTATTATTTTTTGAATGTTTAAGTTTAGTTGTTTGTTTTAATTTACGTATGTTAATTGTTTTCTTTATTTTAGGAGAAAAATCAAAATGAATATGAGAAAATGTAAAACGAGGTTGGGGAAGGAGGAGAAGTAAACGAGGAAGAATGTTTAGAACGTGTTCTTGGGACGAGACATGGACATGCTCCCGGGGTGGGTAGGAGACCAACCGCCAACTTCGGTTTAATTCCAAATGAACGACATTCCACTTCCAAATCGTCTCAATCTCAACCTCAATCTTAATCTCAATTCGATGCACAACAAATGCAAGAATGTTTGCAATAATATAATGCATCATTGACGGCTTGTATTCCGAACTTCCAACCACCATCATTTCCTAACTTTCTATTCAACTATAACACACAAGCAAGTGCCTCTCAACAATTTACCGAAAGGATGGAAGAAGAAGAAGAAGAAGAAGAAGAAGAAGAAGAAGAAGAAGAAGAAGACGATTATGATAATGATGGTTGATGTTTTTTTAGTATTATGAACAGTGTTAGTTAACTACTTATTGTAATATTAAACTTGAATTTGATGTTTTGAATTTAAATAATGGTACCTAGTTAATGTATTTCAATTGATATATGCTGCAATGTTTTTTGGATTTGTTAAAAATACAGGAATGGCAATGTACAAAACCTGTAAAGCTAAAAAAAAAAACAACTAGTAGCTATCCCGACGACAAGTCATCGCTATAGGTTCATAACCATTAACTGATAAAACCCTATAGCAACAACATGGCGTCGTAATAGCTTCAACCTGTCGCGACGATTGGTCGTGGCTATAGCTGTCCCGACGACAAGTCGTCGCCAAAGGGTTTTAATAAAACTTTATTTTTTCCCCCGAAAATATCGTTGACAAAATCTGTACCGACGACATGTTGTCGTAATAGAGCACGCTATACCGACGATATTTATGCCGACGACTCTTTCCCGACGACTTGTCGTCGCCATATCCTATGCCGACGACTTGTCGTCTGGATAAGGTCTGAATTTGTCGTCTCCACAGGATCCGATTGTTATAGTGAAAGTTGTACATTTGTCATGTTTCCGAAATCTTTTTGAATCATATCAACCAAAGCATCAAAGTTTATTATACGATTAAAACATTGAAATGTGATCAATTTGGTCATCAACATCTTTTCTTCAATTCTTTGTGCTCTTCGTCGTCACATATGCTTGTTAGCCCACCAAAGTTGCAAACATTCATTTAACTTATTTTAAGCATTTTCTTATATTCCGAGTATGGCCCGATCTGTTTAGTTTGCAAAATTTAGGATTATGGGACTAGTTTTGTCAAATAATGAAATATTAGATTTTAAACCCCCGAATCCTTTTCTTTTCTTCATTGGAACGAACTTCAAGTTTGGATATTGAAATTTGAAGTGGATTTCAAATTTGAAGAGCAATTTTTTTTTTTTTTTTTAATAGCAAATCTACTCTACTCCTAAATTACTCCTATTTCCACCTATGTCCTCAATGAAACTTGAACCCTCAAAATAACAAGGTCAAGCCCTTCAAGTAGTTATTATTTTCATTTAAATGTTTGGGTGTAGAATTCATGTTTACTTCAATGGTGAATCACTCCCTTGGTCCATTTTGTTGATGAAAATATATGATTCTATGAGTTTAGTAACAGATGTTATAGTTCTGTTATCAATCTATAAAAGATTATCCATCTATTTAGTCAATTTGGTATCTAAGACCTATTCATATTTAGCTAATTGGTCTAACTGGATTAATACCCAAATTATTAATCCCTCGTCCAATTAGAATTTTCCCATTAAGTAAGTAGTGTTTGGCTCGTTTTTTGTTAATAGCCCCAATAAATGAGCACTTAACCCATTTTTTATGGATTCAAATAATTTAATTAGTACAAATCTAAGTCCAATAGAACCTGTCATGTATGAATCATGTATAAATGGGTTTGGAATGAGAATGGATATTTCCATTTAAAGAATTTATTTATCCTTTATGTGTATATTTTACTGATTTGTACGACAACTCTAATAATATTTTATTTTATGTGGATGAACACATTCCGATTGAAATTAACTTAACTGGCACTATTTGACCCACGTTTTATTGACTTTATTTACTTATTACTTTCTCTAAATAATTTTACTTACTCTTCAAGGATTAATTTTTGTGATACTTTTCCCAATAAAGAACTCTATCAACATTATCCTTGTACATTTATAAAAGTTGAAAGGATTATGGGTAGAATCGACCGAAAAATTAGAGTTCAAAACCATTTAACACATTCAATTGGTCAATGGTGAGAACCATGTTTTTATTTTAACGGTAATTTACTATATAATATCAACCATTTTAATTAAAAGAAAAGAAATGGATCCTTTTTGGTAGACACAATGACAATTCCAAGTTAAATTGAAATGAAATTCCTATTTTACAAACCAATTTTTGAATGGATGGGGTTGTTTTATTTCCTTTTACAACAGTTAGGATCCAATCAATTTTCAACCAACATTCAACTTTGGTCTATAATTACTCAAACCGATCAATTCTCCCCTCCTTGTATTCCTTGATGCTGATTTTGATTCTGATTTGGTTTCAGATTCTATCCATATTTTCCTTCAAATCCGAGAAGAAGGAAATGCAATTCTCAACATTTCAACCCTCTCTGCAATCTTTCTTCACCTCCCCTCTCCTCTTCCCATACCCATTCATCCCTGAAAACTACGTTCGATGGGATCGTTGGGACGAAACCCCGGAATCCCACATCTACTCCGCCGATATCCCTGGTATGGTGTCCATTTTGTTCATTCATCTTCACGTTTTAACAAAACGAGAACAGGGTTTTCTGGTTGATTTATTATATACCTGATCGATGTTGATCTTTGGGTGTTTTAGGTGTAAGAAAAGAAGACATACGTGTGGAAATCGAGGATTCGAAGTACCTCATCATTCGAACGGAATCAGCAGATGATATGATGATAATGGCCGGACGTCGGAGTTTCTTGAAGAAATTCAGGCTCCCGGAAACAATCGACGTGAATGGGATTTCTGCTGGCTATGAGAATGGTGTGTTGACGATTACTGTTCCAAGATCATTTGTTCGAAGGGAATTTTATATTGAACCTGGTGATCTCCATGAACAGGTGGAAGTTCTTGCTAGGGCTGCGTAAATCCTGAATTCATATGTGTGGAAATGTATTGGATTTGAACTGTATTGATTGAACATCGTTTTTGGATTCAGGAGTTTTAGGTTGTGTTCTTGCAAATAGGTCAGGATTTCAAGATTTTGTTGATGATTATACAAAAATCATGTTTCTATGCTCAAGGGTTTTTGATGGATTGGATAAGTTGATACATATATAGGAACAAATTTTAAAAAATAAAACATAAGACATTTCAAGATTTAAATCTATAGCGTTTGAGTGCCTTTGATCGACAAAATAATCATTAGGGTGGACATATCAGAGCAACATCTACTTGGTTTTTCAGTTTTTATACTTTTTTTTTTTTTTTTTTTTTTTTTTTTTTAATTTCGTTTTATTAATAGTTTTAGTACCTTTTGTTTTTGTTTTTATATATAAGAAATCTCAGAAAAAGTCTAAAATATTTTGGATTACTTTATGCAAAAGTTAAAAAAAAATGTTAACAAAAACTCCTGATTACCGATTACCGGATAAAAAAAATTCAAATCAACTTTTTTTTTATTTGTAAACTATATTTTACTTGGTTATCTCAAAAAAAATCCAATTATTTGGCTCGGTTTATGAAAAAACCCTAAATTTTGTTTATTTCAACTCTTTTACCCTTTAATTAAAAAACTAAATTTTTTTTGTTGAAATTACGAATAAAACAAATGATTAAAGATCTCTATAACCAATTATTTGCCATAACACAATGACGTGAGCATCATTTTGAATTCAAAATCATCCATATAATCCATTTATCATACAAATTTATGTTACAAGTATTATAATATATTCAAATTATGTATTGAACACATTATTACAATCTACCTAAAAGTAGGTTAAAGAAAAATCAACTGTTATATTCATATAAGAAACTATTAACCGATGACAAACCAATCAATATAATAGTAGATTATATGAGGTTATATGGATTATATAGAAGAATATGAGTTTTATCCTTAAATCATAAGCATATATGAACAATCCTTCCATGAATTTGACCATTCTCAAGCTACTTTTCAACCTCTCATACTTCCCCATTTATTTCTTGACAAGATCTTGCAAATTTGACAAAAACCCGAACGTTAAAGCACCCATTTTTCAAACCTTTTAATGCCTTCCGGGGAGAATAGTTACATATAATAGTAATTTATTTTTATATAAACGTAAAAGATTAATTATTGTTTATATAAATTTAAATCATTATTTATTTGTTTTACAAACATATGTCTATTTAAAACTGATATTTACAACTGTTGAAGCTCTATTTACATAACTGATATTGTAGTTATGCATTGGTCAAAATCTGGTTATAAGCATATACAAAGGTTGTGTTGTCAAAATTTGGTTAAAAGTATTACGGTGGTTATGCTGTTAAAATCTAGTTATAAACATTACTGTGGTTATGCTATCAAAATTTGGTTATAAACCTTATACAATATTTATATTTTGTCAAACTTTTGCCAAGTGACTTTGATACTAAAGTTAAGGCACACAAACTTTTAGATATGTTCACTCAATGGTTTAAATGAGATATATCGTCACCTAAGTGTAATGCTTAACAAAGACCCATGACCTATAATCGTTAAATCTTACGTGAGCAAGAAAGTTATGTATGGATCTATACGACTTAACCCCACCTACGGTTAGCTACAACCTCGATAAACAAGTCACGAGTGATAACTTTCTAAACATCATGACGTCCGATGAAGCGTCAAGAAGGGCAACAACTAGTCGACAACTCGGTTATAAGGACTCATTGTCATGATGAGAACATACTAAAAGTATTTATATAAGTTGAAATAGTACTTATATATACAACGTAACACATACTTTTTTGATTAAAAGTACAACTATATATAAGCTAAAATAGTACTTTTATATATATATATATATATATATATATATATATATATATATATATATATATATATATATATATATAACACTTGTGGTGTTAGCTTCTAAGAGATCTTCAAAGGGAATTTCTAGTTGTTTGCTATAACAATTAAAATGTATGTAATTCTAAAACCCTCTAATCATAATTTCGAAAATAGCCTAGGGTTTTGAGGTTTATTTTTGATGTTCTTAGTTATAGGGTCAATAGAGAAAACATAGATCCTATTTAGGTTGCACGCAAACTTAAGGGTTTTATTTTTGTTTGTTTACCTAAATCCTATCAATGGTATCAAAGTGTTTTGTTTGTTTTCTGTTGAATAGCTATAATAGAAGAATATATCAATTGGGGTTTATTGATATTAAACCCTAAGAGACCATAATTTCGACAAGGGGTAGGGTTAAGAACCCTAGCCTTCACCCCTTGGATTTTGAAATTTAGGGCTAGGGTTTTGAAACCTTAGCCTTCGTCCCTAAGTAATTTTAAAAAGGTATGCTTATAGGCTTTCCATATTTTGATAATTGTTAGTTTAATTTGATTAAAATGGATAATTATAAAATTGGATAAATCATATACCCTAAATTTTGAAAATTGAAGGGTAAGGATTAGGATTAAATTATTTGATTAATTTAATTAGATAATCCTTAATTTATTTAATTGTAATAATTAAATCATTATTAATTTATTTTAAATTTAATTAATTGAATATTAATTTCGAAATTTAAAATATAAAACCTAGTATTTTTGAAAAGTTTAAAATACACCTTATACTATATGTAAAATTAAAAGTTTAATTATTACTATATGTATAAGGCTAAGTCAGTCAAATCGCTAATACACCTCATTCACGAAGCTAATCTATAAGGAGAGTGGGGGTATAAGGAAACTACCTATAAAATGATAGTTGAATGAGTGTCCACTATCACCCACCGCTAACTTAATTATTGGAGGGTTGTTGGCCGAACTGATTTGATAGGACAATCAATCCTCATTAAAAATATAATGTTATTAAAAAGTACTAGAATCTTTTTCCTATAAATCCGAAATTTAGTTACTTTAGGAAAAATGTGAATTTGTATGCTAACCCATGAAATTGCACATTACACTTTATAAGTCGTTAGCGGAGCGTGTGTGATTAACCAGCACATTGATGGGGAATAATAAAAAGTTGTAATGGGTATCTCATATATTATCGTTGTTGATGAAGCGTGTGTGGTTTACCAGCACATCAATTAGGATGATAAATGACAATGAGGTTACCAACAACATTTTCATGGTTATTCACATATTTTCGTGATCCTCGGTATCCCAGTCACAAATAGAAGAGCATAATATAGGATTAATCATGCCTTTGTATAGTTTCAATGAATCTCAAAAGACCTAGGAATTTCATTTAACTTAATTTTTTTTAAATTTCGTTTTATTGGTGGAATTGGTAGATCTTCATTTACCTACCTTTAAAAAATTTACAATCAGATTATGATATCCCTTTTTCTAAATCGTCAATTATATAGTTCGATCCTAGTCTTAATATTTTCTCTTGGGTGTCTATATTAAGGATTATTCTTATCTAACTAGAACCACCTTTTTTTAGATTTCTACCCAAATAATGTTTTTGGTTCCTCCTCCTCCTCCCATAACTTTTCGTTGTTGTCTATTTACTCAAAGGTGACATTGGATGGCACCAATTACAACGACTGGATGCGCAACATCAAAATGGCCCTTCATTTTTAGGACAAGGAATATGTCATTGAGAAAGAGATAATTAAGATTGATGAAGAGAATGCTACTCCTGAAAAATTTGCCGCCTACAAAAGGCACTACGATGATCCAACAAAAGTTGCTTGCATCATGGTAGCTGTAACATCCCAAAAATATAGACAAAAAATTTATATTTTTAATTTAATAAATTTTTTATCTAAACATCATATTAAACCATGGTGAATTAAATTGTATCAACTAGATAATAAATCATTAGAGTAATCATAAAAATGCACTACAAGGAGGTGTGTGCGCTGTAATCATCCCGAGCACTTCCCCTTCGAACTAGAAGTACCTGAAACATAAAGTGAAAACGATAAGCACAAAGCTTAGTGAGTTCCCCCAAATTCCACATACCATACATATCAAATATATAATAGGCCCAACCCATCAGCAGGCCCTGCCCGACATCGGGCCCCGGTCGATAAACAAATATGTTAGTCACTAGGCCCCACCCAGTAAACATGCAAACACATAAACACATGCAAAGATCACATAACTAAATGCAAATAACAAAGATAAATAGCATACATTAAAATCATCAGGCCCCGCACGGTACACATGAAACACATAACACATGCAGGAATCATGCAAACAACTAGGATACTAATCATAACAAACCATGGGTCGGCATTGGTGCCTTTGACATGCTAAACATAGTGAGGAAACTCACCTCTAGCTGCTGAATCACTCAAATGAATCTTTGCTTGCTGGTCCAGAAAATCCCTACGCTATTATTATAAGAATAACGTCCAATTAATAATTAGGATTTTGACACATACCAAGGATCCAAACTACTTAACCCATAACCAGAGTAACATACCATTTTACCCTTTATCTAACTTGGCCCCGAAGCCAAGGCCCCACTCAACTACTCAAAATGCCTAAATCCTAAATGGTACCCCAAAGCCCAATATATGGCCCAATCTTCTAAATTAATTCCAAAACACATCATGGGTTAAATCCAAAGAAGCCCAACATGCTAGCCCTAAGACAAAAAAAGAAGCCTAATGGCCTAACCAAGCCCAAATTCCAAATCCAAACTATGGCCCAATAACAAATATTACTAAGCCTAAAGCCCTCCTACAGACTACACAGGTCGTACTCAGCTCGTATGCTTAGTGTATACCTTTCGGGGCCGGTACACACAATGTATCAGCTGGTGTAACATCCCAAATTTCGAGTCCAAAAATTTTGTTTTAGTTAAGTAATTTATAAAATTGACTACTGAAAAACATTGTCGATATCATATCAAACCATAAACCATCAAAACATGTCTCAAAATCAAAACATCGAATAGTAATAAAAACCAGAGTA